TCTATTAACAAATACGACCAAAAGAAATTGATTTAAAATATTTTCAAGTTTGTAACTTCACCGCTAGGGGGCGCAACTGCTATAGTGTTACAGAAAATTGTCGGTTTTTCGAAATTTCGCTTATATAACCTAAGTTGAAAATACATTTTTTAGATACACTGTTAAACCCTTCACAAGTTTTGTTTGAACTTTTTTTTTGTTATTACCATAGCAACGTCAGTATGAAGGACGCTATCTTGAAATTTTTAAATTGTCATAACTTCTAAATGCCTTAATCGATTTCAATAAACGATGGCTCATTTTAAAGAACTATTAATAAAATTTATTTTTATGATATAGGAATAAAAATATTATTTTCCTGCGCAACGGTAGACGACGCTAATGAGAAAAGTTTTGTAATTGTCTCCGTTTACTAAAAAAATTAAATGCAACGATATAGGTTTTTTTTCATGGCTTGATAGACCATTCATTATGGAAAACAAATACACAAACCGGAGGTCGATATCTTTTTTCGTTTTCAAGTTATTGCTAAAATAGTGAGGTTGTGCTAGAACATCCTCCTTTATTTAGTTCTCTAAATAACATTGACATAATCCAAGCCAAAATTAAATTGTAAAACTATACCAATCTTGTCCTTAAAAAGAATTATTGCTTTATTTTGAAATTTTTTTGATAACTGCAATATTTCATTTTTTTATTAATTCCAAATATCTGAGTAGTTATAAAGATTATTGTTTCCATAACGAGGCAGGCTATGCCCTATGAAAATAGACAACTGAAAAATTATGCCAAACGAAATGTGACAGCTCTTGCTACGTGCAAAATTAGTGTTATTTGTGTTGGAAAAGTACTTGTGAACAAGGAAAATGCCTTTTACGAATGTGGAAGCGTATGATATGTTGGCAGTTTATTTTCAATGTTTGAAAAATGCCGTTATAGCTTCAAGAGAATACGCTTTGCGATACCCTCGTAGAATACGCTACTCCAGAGAAGTATTTCAGCGTTTATCCAGACGCCACTACATTCTGTAAGAAGACATCGCCGTGCAAGAACGGAAGATAATATTATTAATATGTTGGCTTGTGTCCATGTAAATCCCCAAATAAGTCTAAGGGAATTAGTTAGAGACCTGGGAATTTCATATGGAACACAAGTACTTTTCTCACACGAATGACACTAATTTTGCACGAAGCAAGAGCTGTCACATATTGTTTGACATAATTTTTTATTTGTCTATTTTCATAGGACATAGCCTCCTTCGTTATGGAAACAATAATCTTTATAACTACTAGATATTTGGAATTAATAAAAATATGAAATATTGCAGTTATCAAAAAAATTTCAAAATAAAGAAATAATTTTTTTTAAAAACAAGATTGGTATAGTTTTACAATTTAATTTTGGCTTGGATTATGTCAATGTTATTTAGAGAACTAAATAAAGGAGGATGTTCTAGCACAGCTTCACCATTATAGCAATAACTTGAAAACGAAAATTTGTTTTCCATAATGAATGGTCCATGTAAAAAATCCTATATTGTTGCATTTAATTTTTTTAGTAAACGGAGACAATACAAGACTTTTCTCATTAGCGTCGTCTACCATTGAGCACGAAAATAATATTTTCATTCCTATAATTATCATAAATATAAATTTTATTAATAGTTCTTTAAAATGAGCCTTCGTTTATTGAAATCGATTAAGGCATTTAGAAGTTATGACAATTTAAAAATTTCAAGATAGCGTCCTTCATACTGACGTCGCTATGGTAATAACAAAAAAAAAAGTTCAAACAAAATTTGTGAAAGGTTTAACCATAAAAGTAACTAAATAAGAGGGTTTTATTGGATAGGGCGGACCGAACATGCATTCACTGAGGCCATCTCACGTTGTTTCAGCAAAACATTGTCCTTTACGAAAATTGTTAAATAAAAATCTGCAACTACAAATCGAATCTGTATTTCCAAGCTTTCAATCAACAGAAATAGAATGCGTCGACTGAAATATTTCAATTAACGTAGAATGTTGGAGGTAGGAGGTTTGAGGTTATAATTTATCTTCAGTTCAGGTAGGTTGCTGCGTTTTGTGCATTAATAAATTTGTTTTGTTTTTAGATTAATGTAATAAGGGATTTATTGAATAAGTCATCTGAACTGCCTTACTGTATTTTTATTCTTTTTTTTATGTAAAATTAGTTTACCTGGTAGAACTACACGTAAATGTTGTGCTCCAAATTGCAAAAGCACTTACTATATGAATGTCTATAATGCGTCCTATAAAAATAAGTTTTTTCAAAATTACAAAAGACAGACAATTACTGTGGATAGAATCAGTTCGAAAATTATGTAAATCAGACTTTGCTCCGACAAACACAGTCATTATTTTTGTGAAGACCATTTTGAGTTAAAATGTTTTAGAAGCAGTGATAGGAATAGTCTCAACAGAAATACTGTGCCAACGTTATTTTTAAGATCAACTACAAGTTCACATATTAATTGTAATAATATCACCTTGGAATACTCGGATAGTATCCAATATTCAACAAAACAATTTGTTACCTAACGTAACATTACAGAATTTTCATAGTACGAGTTGCCAAACTTCAATTTCGGATGATTTTTCACCCCACCTTTTAAAAAACTGAAATACATGTATTAAAAATTGTTATTTCCTACAAGCGCTACTGCGAGCACCAAGATCATTCCTGAGATTACTGATAGCAAGTTGAATGAAGCGGAATCAAATACAAGTCATGCAAGTACCTCACTTGATACCTCATTTTGTCAAAGCCGCACATCTTTTCAGTCAAATAATAAACAAAGAACATTTTTAAAAACTTTGAATGTTAAGAGAATATCTCAACTTTCAGATAAACATTAAAACATTTTTTATCTAGATCGTCAACAGAAAATTCAGATTTTGAAATTAAAAAAGAAACTATTAAAATGTAAAAGTATCACCTATTATAATTTATTTGCAAAATTAAGTCGTCACCTTGATTCAGTAGGTGTAAAATTTATTGAGTCACAAATTAAAAATTGCGAAAAAACGACCTATCTATAATTCAGAAAATAAAGCACTTGCTTTAGCAATTTACAAACTTGGGCCTAATACCTTTAAATGTTGGGAGAAATGAAAAGTTGTTAGGTGAATTATCAGAACGTGTTAGTAAAATTACTTATTACAAGAGATAAAGTTTGTTGTTTAGTATTTGATGAAATAGCTCTGTCTGTTGGTCTAAATTATGACACTTGTAACGATCAAGTAACGGGATATGTTGATCTTGGGTCCCTGGGTAGACAAAATGAGGTAGCAAATCATGCTCTAGTGTTTTTGGTACAAGGTATTAGTAAACATTGGAAGCAACCTATCGCGTATTATTTCACAAAAGACGTTATAAAAACAAAGGACCTAAAAATTTTGTTAATTGAAATAATTTCAGCATTGCAGTCTTGTGGATTAAAAATAATTTGTACAGTTTGTGATCAAGGTTCCACTAACAGATCAGCTATCAGACAGTTAGTTTCTGAGTCATCAAATAAATCCACTTTTAATGTTAATGGCGAGGAAATTATTCCCATTTTTGACGTTCCTCATTTGCTTAAAAAGACCAGAAATGCTTTATATAACAATAATATTAAATTTTCGCATAATAAAACAGCAAAATTCAGCCACATAGTAAAATGTTATGAAATTGATAAATCTAGACGCTTCCAAGGTTTACGAAAGATACATGACCATTATTTCGAATTAAATCGTAGTAATGTTAAAATGAAAGTAAAAATTCCAGCACAAACGTTAAGTGCATCTGTAGCTCATGAAGTTGAGGCAATGGTGAGTAATCCCACTACTGGCATACCTGCTGAGGCTATTCATACAGCAGAGTTTGCGAATGATATTAATGATCTTTTTGATAGTTTAAATTCTCGTATCATTCAGCTAAATAATTGCAGTTTTTTAAAGTCATCTATTACTAAGAAATCAGCACATATTACATTTTGGAATGATATGTTGGAAGAAATTCAGTCTTGGCAATTTCAGTCTCATAAAGACAACAAAGTAAAAAATGTACATCCCGTAAAGTGTTAAAACATAATTAAAGTGTTTCAGAAGTAATGGGTCATGGAACAGCTGTTAATGGTTCACGTTAATTTTAATTGTTAACTTCAACTATTAGTAGCTGTTTTGTGATCTATTACTTATGAAATACTTTTTATTCTGTGTACTTTATTACATTTAAATTTACCGCCATTATGATGCAGCGACATCTATTAGATAGTAGAATTAGAGGTTACTCTAATTGTGTTTTCCCATACAGTTCCTTAATTATTTTATGGTCTGTGTGTGCCGTTTGGTGCATCAGCTACAAATGGCGTACTCTGCCGCTGCTGCCGGCAGAAGACACAGAAAAAAACCCTCTTATTTAGTTACTCTTATGGGTTTAACAGTGTATCTAAACAATTTATTCACAACTTAGGTTATATAAGCGAAATTTCGAAAAACCGACAATTTTGTGTAACACTATAGCAGTTGCGCCCCCTAGCGGTGAAGTTACAAACTTGAAAATATTTTAAATCAATTTCTTTTGCTCGTATTTGTTAATAGATTTTTTACTCCATAATCGTAGCACGACTAGTTTCCTATATACAGCCGCTCGATACCGTTAATGGATCACCCTGTATAACCACCAAGATAACCACTAACTGTTTTGTAACTCAGTGAAAGATCAATCCTTTTCGTTCAAGAAAATTTAAATTTCTGCCCAAAGTTAAAAAAATTTAGTGGATTAATGAAATCTAGTACTTTGTACCTATATCTGATTTAAAGCCATACCGATTGTTTTATAATAATTTTACAATTTTTTCCTATTACTTCTTAACCTAACAATTGTTTAAAAATTCGTTTATCATCAGATGGTACATATTTAATCATATAAATCACGAAGTGCCCGAACCGCATGCTACCATTTTTTAAATTAATGTTGAAATAGTGTTCTCTTACCTGCCTTCCTCATCTTCCGACTTTATGTCAACACATTCAGCTTTGATCGACATTCCCGTTTCATTAATATCGAATTCTTTGTCTAAGTCTTCAGTCTTTATGAATAAATCAAGTGGAGACTTATCTATTTGGGTTTCTGTGGCTGAACTGTCAAAAATACTATTAATTTTTTCTTCTACCTCTAAGCAATCTTTTAGGAAACTGTTGTGGGTGCACAGAGAGTCGAAGCATGGATTACACACAACGGGATCTTTGATGATATTTACATTCTACAAAGTGGTTTTGTTAAATTACAAAATATGCAATTATTTAATATTGTTTATACCATTTCAGGAGTCAATTTCTGAATAGTTTCAAGTTCCTCTTCACGTATGCATCTAAATTCACTTTTTATTGGATGCATACACAACCGACATATTTTCTGACTGCAAACTAATTCACTTTTCTTTTCCTGCATGTACACTTCCCTTAAGTCAAGCCGTAACATTTTTTCGTTATCCACATAAGGAATAATTGTGTTATTGGTGTTCAGACACGTTGACTTAAATTCTAATGCCGTGTTTAACTTTCTTCTGCAAGCACTACATATAACCTCTTTGCTTCCGCTATCAAGTTTCTGAAATATACACAACTTTAACCAAACAGAAAGAAAATAGCTATGGCAAAAAATAAAAAATATTGTTAAGCCGCTACACACGTATTGGGATTATTGAGAGGTGTGCGAATTATGTTACATATAATCTTTGCCCTCGCTATCAAATTTCAGAAAAATATGCAACTTTGAACAGAAAAAAATAACTATGAGGGAAAATAACAATTAAATACTAAATGTTAATTTACATTAGAGACTGTTAAGATCTAATCTATTTATACTTCACCGACTTACCAATTTCAGTAAAAGGCCATCTAGAATGTCTCTGATAATGTTGTTTATCACTTCAAAACTTTTATTGGTTATATTTTTAAGACAAAGCCTACACGAAGTCTCCTTAACATTAGTCATTGTTTTAAACTCTAGAATAATATTCTTTTAAATATAAACAGATCACAGACACAAAAATACAAAATTGTCACTTCCCAATTCCCATCTAACCTCCTCGCAGTGTTGCCAACTTCAAAATATGCTTGCCCACAGAAAGATCCTAACCGACCCACCAGAATGTCGCAAGATCAAAGAACCGTTTAACCTACCACGTACATCCAAAATTAAAACAATAAAAGTTGTGATTATTACTTATTAGCATTAGATTGGTTGGTACTGCAGATT